CCGTAAGTGACTGTTAGGGGTTGGTTCTTGGCGAGAGGAAGATAGTGAAAGGAGGGAGGGAGATGAAAAAATGTGAAAAGCAAGAGGATGGAACGATGAGATACATATTTGAACATTATACGTTTACGGGGTGTTTCGTTACCTGCAATTTCAAGGGAAGCACTTTTCGCGTACGTCGCTCTTTGTGGAGCCACCTTAAAAACTCATAAGGAAGAAACCCAGCGTACTTTTTATTTTCAGGTTCGATAGAAAAAGAAAAACAACCTTTTTGCCTTCCTAACCTCACTTTTCGTGTATTTTACCCTCTCTCTTATATATACATGTATATATATATATATATATATATATATATATATATATATATATACACGGGCGCATGTACACATTTTAAAACCACTAAATCGAAATATCTTGGCGAGTGCTTTGAAAACTTCTTCGCGCTTCCTTTTCACCTCATCGACCTCTCGAGATCGACTTGGACGTCGAGGATGATGCGCAGCAAGTTTACTGTCTAGCGGGAAAAAGTTTGGATGCGCCAGGAGCGAAGCAATACCAGTTGACAATGGCCGATCGGGACAGGGACGCTACTGAAAATGGCTGCCAGAGTAGAAATCGGAATGGACATCTGACTTTCTATCTGTACCAACCAATAGTAGAAATGGATAATATTTGCATATATATATATATATATATATATATATATATATATATATACACACCCACAGTCAAAACTTGAGAAACCCCGGCTACCCCGAAGAGCCCGGAACTCAAGTAGCGAAACTTTAGGTATAGAGGATATCGATTTGGATAAGACCAAACTCCGGCTGAAGTTTTCCCTGGATCCCTAAAAGCCCACCAGTCCCTTTGCCCGTCTTTTCATCTTTACCTCCTTTCCCAGTTTTCCTTCCCATAGTCTTCGCCTCCCGACCTTCCTCTTCTCGCTGGCCAAAGATAACGACGTATCCTATCCTCCTATCTGAGGGAAGATTTCGTTATGGGCAATTATGATTCCTTCTTTATATATATATATATATATATATATCTTTTTCCTCTTCCCTCCCAAATCCACGATAAACTGTGTCATTTTTATCGACGAGCATCGTCCGGGCATCATTCTGGATATGACGTTCCTGTATGAAAGTCGCTTCGAAATTTAACAGCATCCCAAGAGGATACCGAGGGAAAAGCCGAGTGCACGCTTATTCCTCCCGAATCGGAGCTCCTGGTGAATTTTGGCACCTTATAGAATCGAGAGAGAAAAAAATATAGAGATGTCAATTGGGTGGAATGTATCGTGCAAGTGGGAAAAATTGAACGGATACAATTGTATATGAGTCACTAACGTATTTCTCCAGGTGGGAGAAATGATGCCTTTCGTTGAATTTCCACTACGGATGCCATTCAGATGTAGATATACGCTGATAAAAGGGAACCCTGAAAAGCATATATATATATATATATGTGTGTGTAGATAAATATACATTATAGAAAAGTACGACGCACCGTTCTATATGGTCGGGACGTGGACGTCGCCTCGTCTTCTTGACAGGTTGTATGGAAAAACAAGACAAAGGAACCGAAGAATTAATGGCGTCCGTCGGCTCCTCCGCGTCACATTTTCGTAGCCGCGAATCCTTCGGGCGGCGACAATGCGACGCGTCGGTGTGTATAAATGAGGTGAACCTTTTTTCGTTCTATCGAAATTATCGTAAAAGCGTAGAGAGGAGAAAAAAGATAAGAAGGAGAAAGGACGAAAACGATTCAATCGCTCACCGATAAAATCGCATTTTCCACCGACGCTTGTTAATCGTTTCACCCACCTCCCCCTGTTTGCATCCTATTTGCCGACTTCCTGTAGGCAATAAAAAAAAGGGGGAACCCCCATTCTCCCGAATGCCACTGAAAATCAAAGTTGATTCTCCCTTAGCCACCTGTATCGACCCTTCGAGCTTGGCGTTGCGGCACCCTTACGCGTCAGTGTGGATGTCACCTTTTTTTCGTTTCTTCATTTACTTTACGGATACTCGAAAACTTTTTGCATTACACGTTGTTTACGGTACGTGAAAGTGGAAAATATTTGAGTAGGGAATCTCGTGCAGAGAACAGCTGCGTAACTAGTAGATCACCGTGTATACATTGATACTATTTTTTTTTTTTTTTTTTTTTTTTTTTTTTTTAATAAATTTCGGGTTACCGTTGGTAATGAATTTTGTTTTTCCGATTTTTTTGAAATTTTTTCTCTCTCTTCGTCTTCCTTCATTCAGTCGCTTAGGGTTGTTTCCAATTTATGTCATATTGAAGATGACTGATTTACGTTTGAATTCTTAATTGTACGACTTTGATTGTTCCTGGGCGACCTTATTGGAATTTTTTTTTTTTTTTCATGTCTCCTGATAAAGTTTCCTTAATTGATGTTTGCGAGTGTCGCGATCACCGAAAAAGAAGACGTAGGTTCTTTTGTGGTAAGTTTTAATGAATTTCGCATGATTTGCTAGGGGGGTTGCTGTGCCAGAGAAAAAGTGAGAGAGAGAGAGGGGGAAAGGTAGAAAGAGAGTTACAGAATGGCAGTAAAACGTCGAGGGTAGAAATGTTGCGAAATGACGTTAAAAAATAAGAAGGAGAATTTCCAGGAGTTTCGCACAACAGGACAGCGTCCATAAACCGTGAGGGAAGCCCGTAGCGGCAGCACGCGGGTTTAGTTGCAGAGGATAAAATTCAAATTACGTTCCCGCGCGCCGTATTAATGGGGCACTTTGCACCGGTGCGCTACAAGAAAAGTTTAAACCGCGATGTTTATGGCAATGAGTGCGCAGAGGCCCAAATGCAGATGCACAATGGGGGAGTAACTTTTATAATTCGTTTCGAGCTTTCGAATTGACAGTTTAGGGGGGAAAATAAGAAACGTAGTAACGAGGGAGAGGCAGGGAGGACGGGTAAGAAGAAACTAGAGGATCCGAAGGTGATCCGAAAATTCTGAAGTAGCCATCGTGAACGATGGGGTGTCAGGTAAGGGGATGAAAAAAGAGAGGATTCTCCTTCGTTGAGGAAAACTCCTTAAGGGATTCAGGGTAGGATCATTCGTTGGGGTATCTTAAGTTATCCTCGTCAACGGTTAATTCGTGCCACAGACAAGCCGATTAAAGATTAAATAGTTGAACGACTCGAGAGTCCGGATAATTACTACAGAGATTATAAGTTACTTTGTTCTTCTACTTTCCTGAGCACCGCTGACTTGTTCAGGGTATAATTTCATGATGGATATATATATATATATATTATATCAGTAGTGCAAACTATAGTAACGCGGAAAAAGTTTTCCGGCATGTGTGGAGTTATAATTACTAAAAAAGAAAAATAGAGATTTAAAAGTCATAGGTCAACTGTACTTCTCTATTTAAATGCTTCCGGTAGCCACTTTGTTCCTAAGGTATTTTCAACGTAGTCCCTTTAAACTTTGTAATAAATCGATGAGAAATAACAGGAGAAAAATCGTAACAAGTCGGCCATGTCTGAGGAGTCGCGCGAAGGCATTTGGCACTTTCCTGCAATTCCTCATATAGATGCCAGTAAATCTTTTATCCCAGGCAGCATCAGAGCCCGATTGGCAGTTTTACGAGGGTGAGGAGACGACAGCCAATAGTATATAGGTGCCATAGAACACTCATGAACCGACCCCCTGGTACCACTCCTGTAACATAGAGTTAGATACTCCTTTAAGTTCATGGTACTGGGAGCATTGGCTCTGGGGACAAGTATTGACCCGGGAGATTCAAAACCTCCAATTTTCATATTACTTGAATTCTTCTCGCACGTACTTTGGAGTTATTTTATCCAGAAAGAACAAACGTTTCCGTTCTTGTAGATTGGACGCGCGAGAAAATAATTCTTTGAAATGTATTTCTTTATTTTTATCCTTCTCGTTTACTCACCCTTAGTCAGTCGTTTCCTCGTATTTTATCAGTACCGAGCTAAGTGCTGACTGATCTTACTGACGTCTCTGTATAAACAAGGTAAACGGGGAAAAGTAAAGTATTTGAAAAAAAGTATCAATATTTCATAACGGTAACGATAACTTTTGATATATAAAAATATATAAATATTCCTGTACGGATGGGATTATTTTATTTCCGATTTCACAATATATTGTGCGTTATCAGAATCGGATATTCCTGCTGCTTTTTCTACTTGACTTTACAATCCGAATGGTTAAAATGAAATTTCATCGGGATAAAGGATGCAATGGGTGGATATGAACCGATACCGTATGTGGCGTGTACTGGAATGGTCACGCGTATGTCATTCCAAGTACCAATATAGAATTCTATCGGTTTCTATGTAAATTTTAATTAAAATTCGAGATAGCTACGGATTTCTATACGATATTTATACTTTTAAAATGTCAGTTATATTTCTCTTGCACGTAGTGGCACGCGCGATATACGGTATGCAGACACAATTTTTAACAAGTCAGTGTATCTGCTCACTTCGCTTTATTAGCAAACTGACCTAACGAGATACAATATTAATATATCTTCCTGAGTAAAGGGGTGTTCTTAACGAGCTATTGGCACGTAACAGACGCATTATGATTTTATGAAAAATCTAAATTTATAATCACGACATTCATCGATCCTCGGTATAACCGTAACACAACTCCATTACACATTCATAGTTGGCACTTTTGTCATTCTTTTTTTAACAGTCATGAAAAACACTCCGCCATATGTCACTCTGCACTTTGACTACCACTCTGTATTTACGTTCTTCCATCACTTTCTCGTCCCCGTTACAGTGTGCGGATTCTCTGTTCTCTTCGTGTTATCAATTCATAACCCAGGCGAAAGCTCTCATCGACGTTCACGCCGTCGAAGGTAAACGTGGCGCACGAGATCGCTAAATAAACGATGTCAATGGCGACGCCTATAGCAGACGGGCAACCAGGCAAGAAGCCACGACCGAGCGCTTTAAAGTGCCATCTACACGGATAGACCGAGTACTAACAAACGCATAGCTCACAAAAACGATTGCATTAGCCGAGCCGAAGATGGCGGTAACTGTTGCATGTCAAATAAAGTTAGTGCACGAGAGGTTCTATAGTCTCATCGCCTGTGCCTACCATTGACCATACTTCTGTCAAGAGAATTGAAGCCGCTTTGAGTTTACACACACGTAAAGCCATTGTTAGGCTTTTGCCTTCTTATTTACGTATGTAGCTACTAAATTCTCAGCTGGCGCAAACATCCCCCTGCCAGACAGCAACGCTGTAACTGCCACATCGCCACTCTTAGAACATCGCGTATCTAACTTTGCCATCTGAAAAAATCTCAATGATATAAGATATTCTTGTAATTTTTTATTATCTCTTTCCTTTCTCTTTTTACCTTTTTCGCTCGACGCTCTTTCTCACAGCTGAAACGTAAGACGAGTAATGGGAACGTTTGACGCTTACAACGCGAAGAGGGACGGGATACAGGAGGTTTTTGATGATTTCTCGAAATTTCCACGAAATGCTCGCCGTTTGGTCAACCATTTGTCTTATAGTCAAGGACGGTTTGAGAATCCTTATAAAGTTACTTATCTCCATTTATCGTTTTATATTACACTCAAGTACCTTCCGAAAGAGCCTTACTAATTCGTCGCTGAGTCCACTTTCATATTTGTTCTAGAGAGTACGAGTATGCGTAAATATAATTGTTTGTCATACCTGAAAAGAGTCTTTTATTTGTCTCGTTCATGAGAAAAGTTGCTGGGTCTCACCTTAGTGCCTCTTTGAGTGCACTGTTTTCGAGTGGCTTCGCAGAAGCCCTTTAGGCTTCTATCGGAGTAAGCGTTCGATTTCTATCGTCAAGTCTAATCAGACTAGGGTATCCCTAAAAAAAGAGATGGACTCGTAGAAATTGAAGAGAAATAAAAATATATGATGGATCAATGAAAAAAAATAATTATGCCGTATAAAAAGCTGTGTCATTACTAATTATCTAATATATTACATATTCCACTTGTGAGCGACTTCGATTAATGATAAATTATTTATTTATCCTTTTAGGTGGATATGGAACCGCCGTGTGCCCAGAGGACAGCGTGACTTCCGAAGACGGGGGATGTAAATGCGTCTCACCCTGTCCGCCCTACGAATGCGGACCTGGACAACGGCCAGTCCAAGTACGAGCCGCATCACCAGAAATTCCTGGCAGCTGCTGTCCACTCTACAACTGCAAGCCCTCAGGTTGGCAATTACAAAGCATCGCCTGGCCTCATAACTCAACTGTGGAACTATCCATTTAAGTAATGTTAGATCAAAACTTCAATGTAGAGTAGATGAGAGACGCATAGCTTCCGTATATCTGGAATTTCATAACGAATTGGATGTAGATACAGCGAAGGTAGATTTCAATGAAAATTGAAAAGCTTGTCCACAGTTGTAGCAGGTCATAGTTCAATAACTTATAGACAGTATCTAAACGAAGATCATCCATATATTAATAATTACACAGTATCGCTTCCTAAGACTGTTGACTCACCTTAAGCTACCGGTATCACTATTAATTATCAGTTAATGAGAATACGTCTAACTTGCAAATGCAATTATGACTCTCCAGGTTGCAATTCTCATTAGCGACCAAAGCCCGACCCTCCCGCAGATAGTACAGACCGGACAATTAATCCATGCAATATAAACGATCATCCAGATCAGCTTTCTCTCTGGTTCCTCCGATAATAAAAATTAACCATCTCTCCTTGAAATTTTCAGAATCCGTATCGTACGTGGACGTTGACGAGGATCACGTAAACGGGACATGCAGAGACAGCAGAGGCCAGCCACGAGCATCCGGTGAACGCTGGAAGGAAAACTCCTGCACCAGCTGTATCTGCGAGGAAGGCAACCCGTCCTGTCAGACGACGATGTGCAAGAGCTGCGAGAACGTCGTGCCCGCGGCACCTGGGGAATGCTGTGGTCACTGTCCCGTGCCCGTCCTGCGCGGGAGATGCGAACCTCTGAGGGACTGCGAACTACACTGCGACAACGGCTACGTCAAAGACGCTAACAGCTGTCCCACTTGCAATTGCAGCAACGAAAGGGTAATGCAAAGTAATTGCACACCGGCGGGATTGTTGATTAAGGAATTATCGCGTCGAGTTACATAAGATTATGACACCCTGTACAGTAGGATACACTGTCTAAGGTGCAGCGTCATGATATTCTTATCGCTTGGAGGTTGGGACGTCTCTGAAGAATTACAGGAGGTTTTAGTGTCCCTTGGAGGTTCTTGAGAATCAAGACATAAAGTACAGGGTGGTTTAGGTATATGGTATACGTATGTACGTGGCGTATGCAGTATATAGACTCTGCACCTTACTGTTTGCAGACTGGACCAGACAGTACGAGCACTCAGGATAAAGTTTGCCCGAACCTCTCGCACTGCGAACTTGACTGCGAGCTCAAACACGACGAGGGCGGATGCCCTGTTTGCGCTTGCCGAGACTCTTCTGCGGATGACATTGTTCCTGGGAACGTCGACGAGACTGGAGGGAAGACAGTATGTCCGGCATTGAATTGCGATCATTGCGAGTATGGATATATAGTCGATGAGAATGGCTGCACTCTCTGCGAGTGCAAAGTTCAGCCTGGATGCACTCCCGTTAAGGATTGCAAAAAGAAATGTCCTTTTGGGTACAGAACGAATAAACGTGGCTGTCAGGTAAGATGAAATTATATGAGAACGGGGGTAAGATCCGATAAGAAAGGAGGAAACAGAAATAAAGAAACACTGTCGACCTATTTTTTTTTTTTCTTTTCTTATTTTCATTCTTTCTGTTTTCATTCCCAATAGACATGCCGCTGCCAAGCGACCTGCGTGGATCATCTGAACGAGACGCGTCCTGAGGGTTCCTCTTGGAATCCGAATTCCTGCACGACATGCACCTGCGACACGAATGGAAGACTCAGTTGCAAGGAGACCGTGTGCTCAGTGGCCTGCAGCAATCCTCTACCGCCTGAACCCGGTGCTTGCTGTCCAGTTTGTCCCATTACGGTAAGAAATTCATGAATATTTTGTGCCACTGAGTAAGCTCGAGATTGTTAGATAACCTTGTGGGATTATATATAGATATATTACCATCGGGAATGCTTTCCTTGCATCTGATTCAGGTTCCTGATAAAAACGATGGATCTCATCCAACCTCGAGACACTGGCAAGCGGTCCTGATAACAATCAGCGTCGTCCTGGCGGTTCTCTGCATCATACTGATAGTTCATATCGTGCGACACAGATTCCGCGGACGTCTGTCTCCGTCGGAAGCGTCGTACGCCTCCTACCCGCCTCAGTACTACAAATGCGTCCCGGCCTACGACACTCCTGTTCATCAGGGTGAGAAAATTGTACGCCTGTAAGATGCTGGGCTTTCCCGAAATTCGATAAGACGAAGAAGAGGAAGAAGAAAGAAAACGAATGGGAGAAAAAAGAAGAGAAGAGTCCTCCAAGTCACTGTTCCTCCACGCGCAGTGGATGCTGCGAGCCTGGACTGGGCGATGTGTCCGAAGCTCCGCACTGAGGGCACTGTAATTGGCAATGACGTAGATGCGGTCTCTCGCAATTATGGGATTCATTAATTCACGAGCTGATCCTGATTTGGAATTCAAACGGAAAATCCGGTTAGATCGTTCAGATGCCATTATTTGCGTTAGAATTCGTGGGATATTCGATGTACGTGAGGTAGGCAATATTAGCGTTTACCCATGGTACGTCATTGGGATATATAAATATAATTGAGTATCCGCGATATACAAATAGCAGATCGCGATCGATAATCAATCGAATTCTTAAAAACGATCCATGATCCCAATATTGAAATTCTTGCGTGTAATATACCTTTTTATACCGTGTCCAGAAAAGTATAAGAAGCTTCTTTATATCCGCTGCTTTATAGAGTCTGTACATCAGCAGCAGGGAGAGTAGAGAGAGAGAGAAAGAGAGAGAGAGGGAGAATTAAGAGAAGATTATCAAATTATAGTGAGAGAAGCATCCCGAACAATTATAATCGTATAAATAATTACGATTATCATATCTACACGAATTCGAGCACTGTTCTAGACTTGTGGTACCTTAAGGCATTGTGCGATTGTTAGATGTATCTATCGCAGTTGAACAAAACTGGAGTACAGTGCAACGACACAAGAAAACGCAGTGTTTTGTGGAATTCGTAACCAAATGCTATATATATATATATATATTGCATATAAAGATCAGACGATAACGGACAATGGCAGTTAAGTCTGAATCCCGATTTTGTGACCCCACTAAAAATAAATACCTTGAATAGGTCCAGTATTATTCACGCGTTGCTCTACGTGTTGTGAATGTGAATAAAGTTTGTTAATCGTTGATATCATCAACGGGGGGACGTATCACACTTATCATTATTTTAAAATCGTACAATTCATATTTTGCAATACGCGCGGGCAAGGCTCAATAAATAAGAGGTGACGTTTTGAGCAAAGGGAAAAACAAAGAAGATAAGAGATACGAGAGAAAAACCTTAAATTAATTGATATCGCCTAATTTGTAAATTATGACTAGTTAGTCTTACTACTATAAATGAGTACAGGTATATATGATTATACATATGATATATTATATATATACTAATGTCCACCCGTAGCCCTTAGCTTATACCTACCGTAGCACGTACGTAGAAAAGTAAAGTAAAGAATGAAAGATGGAGAACACTTTAAAGGTAGTGATAGTTTCTTTGATCTCTGGACCATAATTGCCGTCTCGCGTGTACTATTTAAAAAAACAAAAAAAAAAACTTGAACGTCTCTCCGAGTAACGAGAGAAGCCGTTATTTTTTAAATCTGTCCTCTCTTGCGTTCTGTTGGAACAATAGGTGGTCTCGCAAGTTTTTGTCGTTTACAACAAATGAAAGCCACTCGCGTACCGTCACGACTTGAAAAATATTTTCGTTGTATTATTTTTAGAGTTGACCTAAGAATTGGAATTATTCCACGTTCTCCCGTTTGTTGCCGCTCGCTTGATGATACTATCATTTTAAAAAAGTCCAGTACTTCCGTTTTCACCTTTGCCCTTCAAACGATTTATACAAATGCCGTAGGGTAGGACGCGTCCACTTGATATCCGTAAAGGTCAAGTGGAAACTCGATAGAAATATAAATTCGAATAATCCTAAAGGGTTTCAACGAACGAGTCAAAATATTTGAGCCTGAAGGTTTCTGGATTAAAGAAAAAAAAAAAAAGAAATATCGAATCAACGAAGGGGAATCCCCTTCTGATTGGCACGCGTAACTCGAGTCATTTACGCCAGGCTCATTTCATCCAGGATTTGCATGTAGACCTCGCTGACGGCACTATTCTTACGGAAAATTACGTCACAGACACGCGATAACCGTCTGTGTAAAAAAAAAGAAGGAAGCAGAGTAGAAAAGAACGTTTGAAAATTCATATGCGCGAAAGTCGATGCGCCTTGGTAAACGACAAACGGGGATTCCCCCATGTCATAAGCAGGTAAATACTTATCTAATTGAACGCTTATAATGCAAGAATTGTGTCATCTGAGACCAGTGACCAGGATCGCTTTACTGCGTTATATTTTTTTACTTTTATTTGTTTTGCTTAGTTTTAACGGACAACCTCTGGTTCGCTCCTACAAATATTTGTACAGTTCTACGTTGCATAGCGCCACTCCGGTGGCTATGCTGTCTCGTCTAGATTTAAGTTTCGCTGGGTCAATAAGTATAAAGTGCCGTCTTCGAAGTTTTGAAGGAAACGGCAAGTTCACCTCATTCACAAGTTCCGCGTTGCTTGGTACGTTAGTATCGTGAATATATCTTTTTTCTACTTAATTCTTTTTTTTCGATTCTTCTTTACTTCCTTACTTCCGCTTCTTTTTCTTTCTTTTAATTTTATCCTCTCCCCTCGCGTTTTATCGCCCCTACCCTCTCAAACCTGGACTCATTGCTACTATATGCTGATAAGGTTCAAAGGATGTGTATATATATATATATATATATCCATGTCTTGTGAATATCCTGGGACTCGAGATTACTTGGATACTGCAATTTTTGTGATCGAGCAACGCGGAGTCGCGCTCAAAACTTTCTTAAAATCGGCATAACGGTACGCGCGGGAGTTGGTAACACTGTTGGAGGAAGTTTTCAAGCTACTCGACGCACGGAGAAAATCCTCTTGCCGTTTGGAGTATCTCAAGATTGCGAAGAAGTAGTCCAAGCCATTTACGTTAAAGATTTAGTATAATCATTAATAACTGTGTTATTAGACTGTTCCTATGATCCGCCTTTTTGTTAGTATAATCGATAGGCTAATTAATTAATTATTCGTTGCGAGAGACATGTAATATTTATATTAAAAAAGAAAAATCATTATACTACACTCGTGTCACGTTCTCGTGTAAAGCTCAAGAGCCAACGACCCAGTTTATACACGTAACTATAACGCGCCATTACCTAGCACATATTGGCTATTACGGCTGTACCAATTGAAGCGGAAACTTGGATGAAAGAGAACAAGCGAAATTAAAAAAAAAAGAAAGGACTGTAAATACAACGACGAACTCCTTGTCATACAATCGAAGCAATCTTTATTTGACGCAAATTATTGTTTTTGACATTTATATATTTCTTTTAGAACTTTTTTATTCCCTCCTAATCGTTAAATTCTTTCTAAGGCACAAGCGTTCGCAAGGTCTTGTCAAATTCAAATGAAATGTCAACAACGAAATAAACGATTGACCTTCGCAATCAAAATGTCTCTGACCGAGACTCCTATGAGATTTTTCTCGTGTCGACGAAATTCTCGCAGAAATCTTGAAGCTTCACTCAGTTCAGGTGAGTTTATTTTTGGTTAACATATTAAAAAGGTATATATGTATATGTATGTACGTAACGATATATATGTATATATACGTAGACTGGCATCGTAAAATGTTAACCTATTAAAGCTGTTAGCACCTGTGACGTCACCCAGCCCCTCGTTAAAGCCTCTAACGATTTCTATAACGAGAGTATGTCCCTTTTTACACATATTTCATTTAGAAATCACACAGTACATATTTTCGTTCTAAACTACCGGATGCGATGTGTAAAGTATATTTGGCGTACAGACGTGGCGCCATCTATTATTTCGTGTCAAGGCTTCGCATATTTGTCGAATCAATTGTGGCGCGTCTTCCTTATGTTTTTGAACTTGAGAATTTATTATTTTTTTCGTATTTATTTAAAGCACGGTCTTATATATAAGAGCGTGATTTGAAGGCACGCACGAGTGGATTAAGAGATCAAAATTAAATGAATGCCAGAGAGGTGTGAGGAAACTGAAATAGAGAGATGATAAATAAGAAAGAGAGAACATATATAAATATTCTACACATATCCGTGTACCTCTATATATAAATATATTACGTAATTAGAAACACGCATGTAGATCGTTGTCCTCTTTAAATTAACATATATTTTTTCAATGTGACACCGTACGAAATGTAAACGACACGAGATTCTAGAGTTTTAGGATTATTTATATCTAATACGTATATGATAACGCGTACCTATATATCTATACTATATTTATTATCGAATAAAGTATAGGTTAAATTTCATACGTGCACACATTCGAGACAATATTTATTACGGTCAGTTATACCGATAAGATGCTGGAGATGATACCATACACATACGTATGTTAATTCCGTCGTCAGCCAAGGACTCGACTGCCGCTTTCAGGATACAAAGACATTCAATATGTCATCGGAAAATATTTTAATTCATTAAATAAACGTCAAATCCTTGACGTGCCCAAATCGTACGGCGAAGATTACATTTAAAAAATCCGCTATTGTTAAACTGGAAATTGTCTTTCTCTTCGACTGTTATTCAGGCGTCGATAAATAAAAAGTCGATCACTTCAAAATATTCTGTTTTACACGGATTGTATCTTGATAAGAGTATTAATCGTTTTATTAATTAACACAATCAAATAAACAATAAGTGAATATGGTTTCTATGGCTATTTTATTCCAAATTATTTAAATATTCAACGTATATTCAGTCCTATTTGATTCCAGCTGACTGTTGCCGCCATGTTTGTTTTCTTTTGTAGTATCGGTTCGGCACGCAGCGTTACGCACTCCCTTTATTCTTGTGAGTCCTCAGTATTATCGTGAACATTGACGCGATCGGATCTCAGGTTGTTTACGTTTGTGTTGTTGTGTGAAGATGAAGAGAATTTTCAAAATGTCTATACTTATATCGATTCTGTGTAACTCAATACTTAATTCGTAAATTGTATCATTTAATTATGATTTGAATAACGATAACAGGTAATCCTTGTAAAATTGATAGTGTATCTCTGAAATCGACAGGTCTAATAAAAAATCGATATGTATCTATATCTTTTTAACTCGATCGGCAAGCTTAAACGTCAATCTCTCTCTACGGGAATGCGTGTCGATAACTAATACGTTTATGCCGTGAAATTAATCGGCGTAATTAAATTCTTATCTCAACGCCTTAAATTATTGTGTCGTGCATTGCTGGAAATGGATATTGGAACGTGACAGACTGTTTCATCATTTTATTGGTATGTAATATCATCCTTTCTTCAATTAGCATTATGCATATGTAACATCATGCGATTCCGTTATGAGGTAATAACGTAACTCTAACTTAAGCGTACCTTGTTATTATCGATCATATCATCATGTTTGAATATAGGAGTTGTACGTTAAATAGAATAAGGCTAAATAAAATTTGTTGATACGTGAACTTCATATACGTTGTATTGGAGCTTTCTCGAATTTATTGTAATCACCGTCAAGAAATTTTAACGCACATAAAGAATAGTGTCGTTATAATAAATTTTAAAAACTTCGAGATTCTGCCTGTCAATTTATTATATTTGACCTTCTTTTATTGACGCAATCTACTTACCTCATTCACACTGTAAAATTATATCGGTTGGTAAGTTATCAATATCGCATAGGACATTATGAATTTACCGACAGAGGGTAAATCCTCGTGTTTTAAAATATCTAATACTGGATACATTCTATCTCCGGAGGACTGTATAACTTGGATTGTCGTCGTCCAGGTGGCGCAGAGATCGACGAAATTTTTTAAATATTCGTATCGATTAAATTCGATCAAGAATTCATTTTAATCGATAATATAATAATGAAAAGTAAACTGGAATTTAAATAGCAAGCGACGAGTCACTGCATTATATTCTTCCACGTATTATCATGATTAAACGAAAGTTATACAGTGCATTTACAATAATTAATTCTACAGGTTCAAAACGTATACAGAGAGCGATTCAATAAAAATGCTCGAAGACGAGGTAACGAATTATTAAATTTTTTTTAATTTCATGAAGTAGAAATCTTGACATACTCAATACTTTTTCCTTTTAACTCAACAGCCTTGTATACAAAGCGGGGAAAGCAATGAGATGCTATATACTCTTACGTACGTTTAATCGCTCCTTTTCTTTTTTACCTAATCAAAGTCAATTCAATCTAAGAGAATTCTGCTTTATGTAAAAAAAATCTATTTGCATAAAATTGTCCTTAAACTCATTGTGCCACGAATGCACGGGTACATTCATATACTTGGCGCTGATTCACCAATTTTTTTTCGCGTCTCAATTATCCAATCGATACAACAGGTACTGCCTAAATTACCTACGTAGCCTCATTAGCAGAATAACCATAGAGGCAAATAGGAAGTAATCTATAAGGATGCATGTTTTCCCAAAACAAATATCATATACAGCGTTAAGTTATATACGAGCTATATTATTATAGTACATCTTAGTTGTCCTATACAATAATCATTGTATGTAGTACAAAAAAAAAAAAAAATGTTTTTCTGATAATTAAGCTAACGCGTTTATCCATAAATCTGACTTTAGCTAACAAGAATTTTTTAACGGCAGGTTTCATTGAGTTCGAATAATTATCTAATTTTAGTGTTTCTTTTTTTTTCATAATTTCAACATTGGCCATTCACAAATTAATTACCGTTCAATTACTTGTCGAATATCGAATTACGCTGTTTAAATTTGCCGCCATTATCGTAAGTTCAATTACGCAGCTGATACTCTACATACATACATACATACACGAGCGCCATCTTAAACAGGATAGAAGGACTAAGAGGGTGCAGAGGAGAAACCAGTTTCTAGCTCCTCCCAATCTTTTCACGAAGTTCCTGGGTCAGCCATTGGCTCAGAAGTAAATATGGGTGCGTTTTCACCCAGTAATGTAAATACATATCAGATAAGGCTAATAAAGTACCAATAGACTGCGAAGTAATTCGCGACAAAGTCTCTTTGAAAAAATGTTGAAAATTTGTAATACGACCTCGTAAGGGTATATTAAGTTTTTTTAAATAATTTTAAAGAAACTTCTCTCGTGTCGCGACAACTTTGAGATTCCATAAACACCGGTTCCGAGAACGTAACAGCTAGAGCACAGTTCCGTTTATTATCTGCCGAAGGCGCCAACGAGCTTGGCTCGATGCGACGTGGTCCGAAATGCAGGACAAAGGACGTCTTGAATACTGGCAGGTCCTGCTGACTCTCTTGACCAGGATCACGCAGAAGCCAATCGATTAAGCGAAGGCGTGAATACGCGCGAGAACGTCATCGCCGGATTGACCTTCGACCTGGTCCTCGTGAACGCCATCGCAGTCCATGGGTCACATGGAGTGCTGAGGCGGTGGTAGCATGATCTCGTAACCCGTAGGCATTCCTTGCTGATGATGATGATGATGATGGTGGTGGGATCCTGTCATCATCTGATGATGAGTCGGTTGGTAGTACTGATGATGCATACCAGAATGACTGGAGTAATAGACGGAACTCTGTTCAACGTCTTTCCCTGTGAAATTGATGTACGTGTTTAAATTGAAAAATTTGAAAAATTATTTTTTCAAAAAAAAAAAGAAAATTTTTTTCTCACCACTCTCATAAACTCCGCGTCCGTAGCACAAAGCCTTCACGTCGTTCATGGGACTAAGACCGCCATTATGCGGATGAGCTGTGTGAACCGACGATGGCGTCACCGGAGTAGCGTATCCGTGATGATGGGGTCCCATGGGACTCATCCCCATCGGACTGCACGGATTCATCCCCACTGGCGACATAGCCATTGTTGATAACGGTGACATGGCCAGGTTCGGACTTCCGGAATCGATTGACTGTAACGACTGGTGTCCGGCATGGCTGCTGCCCACGGTACCGTTCACGGAATTTCCATTGCCGGTACCCTGACAATTTAGCGGCAGCATGTCCCTACAATGCGAATAATAAAAAAAAAATTAAATGTGTATCGATCTTTGAATGTGAAGAAAAAAAAATTTATTTTTCAAATTTCCCGCGCAACACGTGCCCGCCACGAAGGAAGGACTTTTCATTGTTTAAGGGAAAAAAAAAAAAAAAAAATGGCCGAAAAATCTTACGGAATTTCGGACGTCTGACAATTAGCTCTCGTTTCCTAGGGGCCACATGTGTCCCCATTAGTTCCAAGAATCTCGAAGGCCCAACTCTCGTGTCTCGGAAGAAGAATGTAAAAGCGACGGCGACCGAACGGTCATTTCTCGCATTGTTCTTGGCGCGTCCACTACGGTCAGACTCCCGTGTCCCTCCTTCCACGTGAGGGATGTAGGTAATACACGAGTATATATACAAGTCCCATGCACACGAGGCCCTGCGCTGTGTATACGCCATATGTAACCAGCTCCGCCCACGGACCCGTCACACTTTACCACATTCGTTTTCTAAGACCTTTACCACAGCCGACGGCATTAGTTTTATGGATGCGTTCCCAAATCCGAGAAACTTGCGTTACTCCCACCTCCGGCTCTCCATAAAATTACCACCGATTTATCCGTAATTCTCGTACGCGCCCGTATATACACACTTCCCATGGGACATATCCCATTCTATCGGTGGCATTCACGAGGCGTCATCCTTTGCGCAAACCGGAATCCCCATAGACGCCATAGATCGAAGCGTCCCAGTATCCGCCCCGTAGGAAACTATTGGTGGTGCCCAAGGTCTCAATGGTGAAACGAGATACGTAACCGAAGCGACGCTATAAAACGGTAATGGGGCGTCGTGTTTCCTTTTTTCTATGCCTTTACGCCAACCTCTCGCACCTACGACATGCCTCTGTCACCAGTGACTGCGGACGAGGCTTAAGGCCCGACTCTGCCAGTATCTTAAAGAAAATTAATTCTCTAGGGAATTTTTCGTTTTACTTTCAAACGTTGTGACGCCTGGCCAGCTAATTCAGGTTCGAATAAAACGGCCACGGAGACTCCGGCGACGCGAGCGACTGCCGTGCCCGGGTCCATGAAGGAAATTTCGAGTGTGTCGCCCTGGACGCCGTGACCGGTGCCCCCTCGTAGCCATAACAACGCTACGTTCGCTTCTCTGTTCTCCTTTCGCAACACGCACGACGTTACACACGGCTCCTACGAAAGAGCCTACCTTTCGTATACGAAGTCGGTCGCGACTGGATTCATTATTCTTTGTACAGTTAAGGAAAATATTAAGGTATCGAAGGTATTGTTACTTTATGATTTTTTTTTTTTCAAATTTTCATTCCCCTATATTTTTTTTTAAGAATTTTTTTTTTTTTCTTTTTTTCATCCATCCACACGTTTGGGTCAATGCACGGTTTAGTCTGCGTCTCGTGTTTACGCCTGGTGCAATCTTATCGAAATTAGTGATTCTTGTTGTGGCAACAGAACCGAGAACACGCGTCCGGCGTTGTCTCAACGTTATTTTCGCCCGGGGACTTTCTCGCGTGTCAAAGAATTTACTAATAATACATAAGTTAATCGCGTGGCGGCGCACGAGAGTCTAAGGTTACACGCGTGCACCGAGAAATACATTCGCATCCCCGTGAGTCCCCTTGTGCCTGGTTTTATTTTGAATGTCAGATAAGAGAAAAATGTTAACGCACATTCGCGAGCGACGACGTATCTCGATTACCATACAGGAATGTCTTTTGTTCCAGGAGTTTCTTTCCTTTTGTTCACGCGAGAACAACAAACGATTCCTTCCCGAAGTATCCTCAAGGAAATTCGACCTGAACGCGGATTCTCACGAAGCTACCAACAGGACCCCATACCGCAAGTAGAGCACGGACGCGAACGTCGTTTTCCAAGCCATTCGGTAATTGATAATTCGCACGACCCTCGTACGGAGGATGATTTAGCGTGACGTCCTTCCCCTTCGAAGGGTCCCGAAAAACTTGAGGGTGTGACACATGTCGAAACACTTGTTGCTCCTTGGAAAAAAAAAAGAAAAAGAAGAGACCCCCCGTCGTCACACGTGCCTCGCATACAACGGACCGTCCGATCTTTGCCCCTTAAGGGTGGCTTTTGGGCCTTTTCACTAAAACTAAAGCTACGCAGCGTGACTCCCACTGGGCTCCTTGGTAAGTGGCACTTGCGAAGTGCCAAGTGCCGGACTATCTCCGACGATCATCGACCTCGTGTTAGATTTTTCGGAAAAAAAAAAAAAAAAAAAAATTAGGCCTAAATTCGATCGGTCGGAGACGATTTCGAAGTTGGGGGGAAAATTATTTTTTTTTTTTTTTTTTTTTTTTTTAAATCAGCGATATCATTCAAAATGGGACTTACGATCTCGTCTGAGGCGTACGGTCCCTCTGCCGACGGTTCTTGAACCAATTCGAAACCTGGGTCAACGTCAGTCCCGTCTTCTTGGCTAAATTTTTCTTCTCGTCCGGCGTCGGGTATCTGTTTCTCATGTAACACTCCTTTAACGCGTTCCTAGATCTCTCCTTGAAGCAGTACACGGTCTCCTCGCCGTCCCAGATTGTCTTTGGCAAGGGATACTTCTTTCTCAGACGATACTTGTCCACTGCGCCCAGAGGACGACCCCGTACCTTCTCGGCCTCGCGATAATGGGACTTGAACCACATCTGCTGGAGCTCCGGATGACGACGAGGTGAGAAAGGATGACTCTCCAGGATTGAGTATAACTCGTGGTAGGCACCTCTGTGAAATGCTACGGCCGCCCTGGCCATCAGGACACTCTCGCCACCCCGTAGAAGCTCACCAGGTGGCAGAGACCAGAGGAACCTGAGACGTATAAAAAGTGACAACCCATAGCCTGCGCTGCTGTATCACGTTAAATTGCAATGGGGATATTCATTTTTTATATCATTGAATTCATACGTTGATTTGTACGTAGAAAAATTTATATTTCCATTTGCTATATTAAATTTGCATTTTTTCTTTGTTTTCTTTGCCTTTGACTTTACTCACCTCGTAAGCTTCTCGATGTCTTGACTCTGCGACAGTGCCTCGCACATGCAGGATATCTGTTCGGGCGTGAAATTACTGCTGCTCGCGCCCAGCGAAAGTCCCGTAAGATTTCCTATATTCTGACTGACGCTCGTTGGGTTGCAGCTATTCAACTCTTGCCGATACTGCGGACTTCCCGTCGACGTTGGCGTTAAGTTTTGCGTATGGGGATGATGATTTAGCGGTAGACTCGTCATAGGCGATCCGTTGTAAGGTCCCGGGGAACCTACGTTACGGTGCACTGCACCCATCTGACTGTTACAGTCGCTACTTAGTGATGACAGTTGATCCGAACTGTCAGACATCCTTAGACTGACAGATTTTCGTGAACCATCCAAAGAGTGGTGAATTTTGAATTGAGATTGTTAAAAAAAAAAAAAAAATCAAAAAAATAATTTTGTTGATTGATGAAAATTTTTTTTTCTCTTTTCTCAAAAAATCATCGGACACCTTCGTTAATGTTTTCTATTACTTCGTCGATCCGACAATTCTTAACTACACGTTATTCAATCGTTTGCAAACGTTCCCAGAGACTCTTGGCTTAACGCCCTTTAACCGATACGTTTGTTGTTACTTGGTTGCCTTGAGTTTCGCACGATAGCCCACACTGCATTAATTCACCGTAACGACACTCTTTATTCGCAAGTCAATCTCTATTTACGTCTTTGACGCTTATCACTCTTGTCTATGAAAATGCCGAATGGACCGTCTCGAATTATTGCACGTATCGTCCGTTTATCTCACAAGAAATACTATAGAGTTTGACAAGCTTACACTCACGCAATTTTATTTACTTTCCAGCTTTGCTCAGACATCCGATCCAACGAAATCACTCGCAGGCTTTTTTATTTATCCAAATATTACCACGATAAAAGAATCTTCACTCACTGTCAATAGTTTCACCGTTCACATCGGCTCTCGGTATTAGATTTTGAATTTGATGAGAAAAACGGAAATTCACAAAATCACACCTTGTTCACGTAAGTCGACACTAATTTCTTTTTTTTTTTCACTTTTTTTTCGTATATCCCTCGATACACTCGCAATTCACTGCGTCGCCGATTAGATGTCGTTCTTCGATCCGCTGATAACCCATGATCAAGTCATTTTCGTGTTACGACTCTTGTATGACTTCTGTCTGATCTGCATCGGGTGCGACGGTTACCGATACCAAAGTTTAATAAGTCACGCAATGGTCGCATAAGTGAATTATGCAACTACGCAGCGGTATCGGGGGCTCCTTAGACCGAGGCACACTCACTGAGTGACCAAGTCACCAAGTTAGTAAGCGAACACTACCCGCCTCGTAATGCAATGCAGAAGCAGTATGGTTTTCTTTTTCTTTTTTTTTTGACGTACGCCAGGTTTAACGCTGCTCGACATGCAGAGTGGCTCTGCTCGGGCCAACGAAGCGTTGATTGGTCGCGAGGCGTGATACAGTGCGACCCCATTGGCTGACAAGGAGGGCGGTGCAACCCCCAATCCTTCGTCAAATCTCTGCTGGTACCTTCAGCGTCCCAGCATCCTCCACGAGCTTCACCTGCCGCAAGCGGGCACTGCCAGCTTGAGAAATTGTCGCACCTTGGGACAGTACATGGGAAAATTTTCAAAATTTTTTTTTTACATTAGAATAATTTTTTGCCATTATCAACCAAAATTGAAAAGAAAAAGGATTAATTTTGAGAAAAAAAAATGAAAAAAACTAATGCCTGTATTATTTTTGAAAATAATTTATTAGGCTGATCGATATCGATTATTATTTATATATATATATATAAGTATAATTTATTACGTAAGATTTAGACCCAGATGATATTGTTAACGATAATGGGTTATTCCGAATGCTGCGATGCTTTAACACGGATTCGCATTTTTCATTCAGGGATCCCAAGGTCGGCGAACCCTTCGGTCCAAGGGGAAGGGAAAGCGGAGACGCATCTTTGATCCGCAAGGCGTCGGTACAGGGTGAATCTTTTTCAAAGCAAAATCCTGGAAAACACTTTTCGCATGGATCGGATAACCCCGTGTGACTACGATCGTCCTATTCTTGTTAAGACAGCTAGAAGCCTGTGAATCGGTATACACGGTGACCAATAAACACCGGAAACGAAAAGTATCAACGTTACCATACACCGTGTTGTTGTGATTCTACAATCGCACGGTTAATATCTTCGCGTCCTGTCCGACTAATTTTATAACAACGGCATATATATACATATGTATATACATATTTCCCGTGCCACTTGCCGGTCGCTTAAAAATATTGGTAAATACGTATTTCAAAAAAAAATTTTTTTCTTTTTTTTCTTTCTTACAGAAAGATAAAAATCTCATTTCCCGTGCAGTTGGCACTCTCGATTTACGTAATTTTATTTTTCTCATTCCCGAAATAGGGCAGGACGCACGCAGAACCTCGGATAGGCAACAAGTCCGGCATTACGTAGATCAATGAAGATTCTTGGACTACCGAGAGACGACGTCTTTCGGCAACAGACTCCTCAGCGACTGCCGCTGTACCATTTGGAGGTTCGGCCACGCCTTGCCAATCCTTTGAATCTACTCCGCCTTTACATGACTAATTGCCATCATCTGCCTGAGACCGTGAGGCAGGATGACACGGTGTGACGACCGGTTGCCAGGGACTGACGCGTCTCTTTGACGTGCAAGGTCGTGGTTATCCTTGTTTGTCTGAAAAAAAGAAAAATTTTTTTTTTTTGTAAACATCTGTATATATATTTTTAATTTTCTTTTTTTTTAATTCCATCTCAACGCAAGCCGCTTTCTCGAATTTCCATCACGAGGAACTTCAACGTGCAACTACCGGGACTTTCCAGCGCGTCCGTCTTCCGGGAAGAAGGACACTCGTGATCTACCTTTCCGTAAGGAGCAAGCGGACGTTCAGCCGGCGGACGCGAAGGTAGCAAAGTCAAGAGCCAATGACAGAGGGGCGGCGCCTCGTTTTGCGATGGCGTCTCCTTCGATTTGGCGTCGTGTTACCGCCACGCCGCCATTTTCCCTCTTCCTCTTCGCACCATCCTCCGGGACGCCGAGGACAGGGACTTCGCGCCGACCTTCTTATCAAAGCTAACGGAATTCCTCTCCGGCGCTTCTTCGTCGCTCTGCCTCCGGCACGGGCGCGCTTTAATTTGCTCTCGTGAATCTTTCAAAAAACCCAACCTACCAGTTTGCGAAGGTCCGTCAGGGGCTCTTGTCAAATTATTTTTCTCGTATCGTTATTACTTTACGTGCTCGAATCACAATGTATACTCGAATGCTACTAACTCATGAAAAATATTCATTCGACGATACACACTTCGTACGGAATCTACTGTTGGTACCTGGAACACCTAGGTGTATATACGTATACACAGGCATGAGCCAACGAGCAGAGAGAAGCGTCGCGTTTCACTCCGGTGCGTTTAATTGCATTCCAAAATGGCTCAGTGCGAAATTCGTTCTGGCATCTTCAGCTGGAATTCACGTGAAAACACCCGTTCGATTCTTCGTAATCGCGCAACTCCGTGAGTTCGATCGAGATAGGGCGATTTCGGGAGTAAAGAAATTTTTGTTCGATTTGAATTTCCCGCCGCGCATTTGACCGGTTTGGCTAATACAGCAGACGACAAAGAGCAGCCAGTTATCGTCTGGAATCAATCGGAGGCGCAGCGCCTATCGTATTACTTTGTTATGAGTGTCGGAAGGCACGGGAATAAAATTAATGTCGGAGACAATAAGCTTCGCGCCGATAGCCGACGAGCGTGGTAGACGCTACGGGCAGAAGACTTGTAGGTGGCCGGACACTGGACACCCTCTGTTCGAGATAGCAGCTGTCTTCGCGCGGGTGCAGATTACGGACGATCGGGTCGGGTATTATTTACAGGAGTCAAGAGCCCGCGAGTATAATTAGAAAATTACATTCCAATAAGTAGCGACGCAGGTGTAAAAATATCGTGTTTGTTTGTAGGTTAGAATTGACGTAGCGAGTCGAATTCGGTTCGGGACTATCGTGCGTCCTTTTTCTTTCGACGGACGGAGAATGTGCCGGCAGACCAGCCGTAAAATTGGACAACGCAAAACACAAGAGACGGTGAGTGAGCTTCACTCGAAAATCAGCATCAATAGGCTCGAATCGGGATCGGGATTAGGGCACGTAATCCCATGGTTATTTTCCCATTAGCGTGCGGAACCCTGATCGGTCCTGAGATTTTTGTCGGGAACCGAACAGGCGTGAACACAGGTAGCTCGGTTGTTATGGGGGCTGGTGGCCTCTAATGCTCTGAAATATGCTCTTTATGTGTCACTGGCCATTTTATGCTGGGTTCCGTGTCAGTGGAAGCATTCGGAGATCGAAGATGCGATTGTTGTTAGGCTTTGGCGACGGGGGGAGGAAGTGTTGGTGGAGCGACGCGTCATGACCCTAACGAAAAGTACTTCTCTCTCAGGGGCTGCGAGAGGATTGAGTTGACAATTTTTTTTAAAATCCTTTGTCCAACCGTGAGGTATGATGATACTTTAATTTTCTGTCGTTGTTTTTTTTTTCTGATTTTCATCTTTCGAGTGGATGCGAAAAGTAATAGCTCGTAATAACGGTGATTTGGGGGGGATACTGCACGCTCTCTAGTTTAGCCTGCGAATTAACAGGGTGCGTCTACTTTATGCTGGGACGAAATTGTCGATTACATGGTTAGTTGGACGCGCCCTGTGATTCGATAGTGTCATATAAGGGGAACGTGTCGTCGTGTTTGAACACCCTGTATATCTGATGGTACCAGGGTGGAATGAAGACACGATGAAATTTTGGCGATCAATTAATTCAATAGTCTGGCGACTTTGTTTTTATAATTATAATTTTTTTTTAAAATTACGTTAATTATATTATGAATCAAGATTCAAAAATTACGGGTGATTAGTTTGACAGATTTGTTCTGTCGTATAGGTATGATTAAAGGAGGGGCCAGTATCCTTTGATCTTGGAATCGTCCCCTTGAAATATTCTGACAGATTTATGTGCAGATCGACGAGTGGAAATTTTTGGTTAAAAATTGTAAAATTTTTTTGGAAAAAAAAACGAAAAAAAGAACCAAGTGCCCAGTCCATAACCTAGACAATCTTTCGAGTCTCGTTCATCCTCGTTTAAGGAATATACGAAAATAAAAAAATAAAGCTATCCAACGAGCCAAAAATACCGTAGTAATTCGATGAAAACCAGCCGCAAGGAATCGTATTGCACGCACGCATCCACGCACGAGCAGCACGCAAAGTAGAATACGTACGCGCTGCCAGACAGATAGCCGTACGAGTAGGGTGAAGGCTGATCCACATCCCTTTCCTTTTTCTTTCCATTCCTTCCCGTTCCGTTTCTTCTCTCTCGTTTCTTCTCTTCCCTGGCTACGTGATACTTCCTCCACTTATCTCCAGCCAGTCTGGTTCTTTTACCCACGAGCGGCTTCCTTCCCCGCGACCTCAGAGAAACGGAAGCTGTCGCGGAAATCTATTTCTCCCTCAACCCTTAACAATCACTCATGGGGATGCTGCGTTTGAATGATAAATCCTACAGCAACAAACCCTATATGAAAAGTCAAAACGGGGCAGGACGGTGAAAAAATTTTTTGAAAATTTTTCAAATTTTTCAAATAACCCCTAAAGACCGGGTCACACCGATCTTACTCGAAACGGTCCAGTTCGCACCAAGACTTTGATCTTCCAAGACGATGCGCGGCCGCTTCGAGATGATTTATTTGACCTGATCGACGTAATAATGAATAATGTCGCATTCCAGTTCCGTGAAAAGGACGATAAAAAAGTGCACGAGGCAGAAGGAAGAAGAGCGGCCATCATCCCTTTTCTCCCTACGGAGTCTCCGAGATTTATGGCAAGGCTAATTATTATTGGGGTCGGAGGAGCCAACATGTGCGGTGTAGTGAGAGCCGCGATGGCAACCCTTATGCTTTTAGGTATGTATACGCCATATATACGAAAGCATCTATACCACATAGCCGTAGGACGGGCAATATGGTTGCGTCGCCAATTATGAACGATCCTTGATAGATACGTCGTGAAGGGTGTCGCTTAGGTTGCTTATTAGGATACGACTGGTCACAGTTAATGGACCGGTCGACCATGTGTCGTTGTAGGTTATGTCACATAGTCGTTAAAGCCACTTACAAAGATTCCAACCTGAGAAATAACGAAAATGTATTATTTTCAATTTTCTTTTTTTTTTTTTCACTAAAACAAAAATGGCGTCTGTCTGCGTACGACACAGAAACGACTCCGAGTTCCCTTGTCAGTAATTCTGTGTGTCAGGTGAGTTTTGTGGGAGAACGTTAGACGCAGGTCTCCTGCGGGAGATCAGGTTTCGCTGACTTGGATGATGGACACTGGGTAAGTCCTCGCGTCGCACCATTCATATATCATTTCTGCCCATGAAAAATTTACGTGCCCTTTTTTCAATTATTATTGCCTCTTAAAATTCTACCAATCTCATTCGTTCGTAATTTTTAATTTTTCTTTTTCACCTCGTCTCTATAAACGTGCCGAAATCTCATCTTCCCAGCATCCGTGTACCAATCTCGATCTGTCCTCTTGACGTTGGGTATACGTGGATCCTCGAGTACCACTCTGACAATATGTTCCGGATCTTTAGTAATAATGACAGGGAGGCATTAAAAGACATTACAAAGCGGAACGACACTTGAATGCCTGCCGTCGTGTCGAGGGTCGCTCTCTTGAAAAGAGCATCTGAACGCTACTGAGCTCAACATTATTATGAACTCTCTTTACCACCCGAATGGCTCTTTCTAGTTCTCTACCCTCCCTGTAACACTCCCCGGCCACAATTGACAATCGTACCTACCACCCCATTCGTACTACGGGGAGCACCCTGCATAACGCACGTGTATACATGTACCGTTCAATAATACCGTAGCTAGACGTGTGTATATACTTATGTCGAATCACCGTTCTCTTTCAATTCTAAGCCCGTAATGTGCCTACGATTTCGAGGGTGTCATTCCCTATTATTTGTTTCATCCGTATTTTAATGATCACAAAGAGTTAACGTTCCTCTACGCAATAGGGCAAAGGCCTGACTGGACCCAAGAGTATCGGTAAAAATTAAGTGAAAAATTTTTTTTTACACAAAATCGTTCTTTTTGAGGGCCGATTAATTTTGAGCGTGCAAAATTTTTTTTTCGAATTTTTTCAAAAAACTAATATATCCTTAAACAAAGGTTTGCGCAAATTATTTCCCCGAGAGGCTAAGCTCCGTACATCCCTAAATCGCTTCTTGGTTTATACTCGGTCGTGTAACGTCTGTACCTCGTAACCGTGGGTTGCGACAAGGGTAGATGGGGAGGGATTTAGCAGGTTTCGCGTTACATCATTGTATCCGGCACCCCGAGGCACCCCAATAGACAGATATATAGGTACGTACGTTGGTAGGTGGTGGACATGTTCAAAATCCTCCCCTCTCGCAGCCCGCCCTTGCACCTACGTATTCGCTTCAAAACGATAGGGTCCTTTACAAGGGATGAAATTGTCCTCGCTGCATAAAAGATTTCACTTAATTAAATTGTATCCCCGTGAAATTGGTCGTGATCGTTTGCTAATTTTTTTTTCTCTTTTTTTTTTTTTTTTAGAAAATTCCCACCGCCCACCTCAAGGAATTTCTTCGCGCCTCCTCGGTGATGGCATTAGTGCGCCAGAAGAATCGCTGGCGCGACGCTCTTCGCGCTGACGGCGCAAACTCCTCAAGGACATCACGGCTTTATCGGCTTATCAAGAGACGACATACCCGGCTACGCTGTGGGAATTAAATAATTATCACGTCATACCTCGCGGAGATTTATTTATAGAAACTCCGAGAACTCCCCCCCCCCCCCCCCCGGAGCTCCAGACGTCTGCATCCGTTGAATTGAAATCGGCGGGCATTCATTTCCACGATAAAAATTTGACCGTACTACGGGCTTGTTTGGTCACAAACAGACTCGGCAGGTAATTAACCCCCTATTTATTGAAGTAGCGTGTAAATAGATTTTTCTAGGGTGTCCATGGCCGTGAAAACACTCGAGACCGCAAAATCGTTATGATACATAATAATAGGGGTTGACGGACGGCAGGCATTCAGGTAGCTGGGACTCTTTGTGCAGCCATTGGAAACTACCTTAACGCTTAAGCAGACTGTAGGTATGGTAGAGCCTGAACTAGGTGTAAAGTACAGATTGAGGATGCTGGTGGTAACTTTGTTTCAGGGTTGGAACAAGGCGGTTCGAAGAGAGGTGTAAAGGTGAATGGCGGAAAAAAAAAGGAACGAATCCCCTCCTTCGCACTAATAACGTTGATATCCCTGAACTCCTGGGTAATTGAATGTAATTGGCTGCGTTTGATGACAGATGTAACGCGGCTTGAGCATAACGGAGGGGGTGGCCTATAATTTATAAACTAGGGGCTGTTTTGGGGTAATTGCAGATAACGACGGGGCGGTACGGATAACAAGCCGACATGGGAGTCACTGGACACCGTGCCACACTCCACGTCGTAGGCACCATAACCTCGCTGTAGTTATACCAGCTATATATATATACGTATACGTATATACGTACACGTAGCGCGTCTCCTGTCCAGGAATATAACTTATTTCACCCGCATAAACCTACCGGTACGCTAATAAACAAGCCCTCGATCCGAGATTTAATTATACAGCATCCAATTAGTCGACGCTGATTCGTTAAGGCAATTGGCCTTTTATATGGTTCTTTTTTTTTTATAAATATTTTAAAAATTTTTGCATTCTTAAATTTGACGAATTTCCGGTTTACGAAATCTTAAGTTTTTTTTTTTTTTTTTTTTTTTTTTTTTTTTTTTTTTTTTTTTTTTTTTTTTTTCAAAATTTTGACAGACTTCAAATTGCGCGGTGGGGATAGGGACAAAAAAGTTCATTCTGTTCCATTGACGATCTTCCTACTACTTGCATGAGGCCCACGAGGACAGGATGCTGCTGCGGACAATGTGATTGGTCCTGGCAGCTATTGTTAATGCTATTTCAATGGGCGCGACAATAAGCCATTGACAATGTAGGTACACGCGTTGCGCAAAGGGCGTAGGGTTCTTAGGGATAAGCCTGCTTGACTGTACTTTTCACGCCCTTCCAGGGCCGCATTTTCGAATTATTACGTTGTCTGGGGATTTCACCTCTATCAGGTATAACTATACATCTGTCTTCGGTCAGAGCGACCATCTTGTCTCTCTGCGTCACACGATTTACATTCGATCCACGTAAATCGTAATATCGTATATGGTTATGAATTTCTAAAGTGACTGGGGCAGTAGTTTTTCATTAAAAAAAAAAAAAGAAACAATGAAACGTCATCAATGAACTTGTATAACAGCCTTTATTTTCATCGACATGATATAACTTCAATATATATATCGCCAATAGTACGCTATACTAAGCTATACTAAAATTGTATCTCTTGTTGATCTTCATATGTTTCTAGCGTTGATACGACACGTAACGGTATACAGCAAACGGGCTAGTCAATGAAAATGCGTCACCTCGCCCACGCAGTAGATCATCAATTTTCACAATAAATTCTGCCGTCGATAAATTTCGCGTCGATTTTGTAAAATTTCAAGAAGAAAGATCGACGATCGATCCTCGACTGTCATTGTTGGGTCCGTAGCGAGATTTGAATAAAAAATTTTGTCTTGCATGAAAATCATGGGGTCCTGCGAATTTTTCAATCACTCCAGTTGTGATCGTGACTCTTGTAACTTGCGATAGATTCAGTTTACTTCGAAACTCCTGCGCAAAGACAGAATCGACGCTGCAGGCCCTAATTACGAATTGACAATATCGATAATAATTGTATTTTATATATATATATATATATATATATATATATATATATTTTTTTTACCTTTTTCTTTTTGAAAACGATCCTTGCGTCGTATATGATATCTTATATGTACACACGAAGTTTTATATTTAATATGCACTTGGAAGACAGAGGTTTATATCGTAATATGCGTATATGTATTATTATACCTATATTGTTTATTGACTTAAGACTATTTATCGAAGGGAATGCTTGCGAAAGGAGCGATTGATTATTGGATCCAATTGAAACGTATAGATAGATACTAGCAGCTAACACGTAATTTTCACATGTGACAATTAGCATTTGTTATTTTTTGAGAAAATATTCCAATCCAATCGTTCAATCCAATTGACAAAACTTATCGCTCGTGTCAACCAGTGTATTAATTGTATCGATGAGCGATCAGTTACTAATTGATATGTATCGATCTCTTTTCGCACTTTCCCTCAAATAACACATCACCGACAAAACTCCGATCCGCTCTGACATACGCCGATTGAAAAATCAATGAAGAGTCGCAAAAATTTTTCTTTTTTTTTCCGATATAATTATAAGGATTCTATATAACTGACAATTGATTAAATTGTGTTTTAGGGATTAGACAATTTTTTTGAAAAATTATACATGCTTATTCGATAAATTTTGTCGATCCCTATGAGATTTGTCGGTATTCTCCGAATATACATGATATATTACACGCTCGTACGTTATGATACTATATTCGAATAATCAAATTGGAGCGTTAAAATGACGTCAAGAGAATCAACAGATATAAGATTATATTATCATCACCCAGATCATCCTCCGTATCCAGGCATGACGTACGATAAATAATTAATCGTTAATTGAGATTAAGGGATGACTATCATTCCTGAGATTAAAACTTATGGGATAATTATTAAGTGACGATTAATTAACGGCCAAGCGAATTATTTAGGATTTTTGCGATATCTAAAAATGGCTATAATTGTGTAAACGAGATTTTAATTTTTTTTTTTAATTTTTTTTTCCAAGATCCCACGATAAGATCCTTTAACGCTTTTCGTGATTTCGTGGACGTTCGGTGTAGTCGAAAAGGAAAAATTTATACCGCGTAAACGTATCGTATACAGGGATATGTACAATAGAGGCCCTTTGAGAATCACAAGAAACGCGAAAGCTAAACTCGAGAAGGATCGCGGTGAGATTAATTATTATTATTTCCTCCATTATCACGATTGATCAACGATAAAAGGACATTCGCCATCTATTTAATAATAAAAAACGGTCCCGCTCGATATTATATAGTCTAGATGAACTTCAGCTGCCTAACAGGGCCTGATCTCGTACTCTGCGTCAGGACGTTTGTACGATTCTTTCTCGTTATGACGCTTTTACATAGTTAGACGTAACGATTAGCATTAATGGCGATAGAAATTAAAGCGCAAGGGACTATGGGTAATCAGGGACCTCAGCCTTTCGCGAGCCGCGAACGATCGAAATAAAAAGGCTTTGCAAATAAATTAGGAAAATTTGCGGCGCTCGTGCCCGCAATTTAATATTCTAACGATGTACAACCGTAAGAGTTTGCGATCTTTGATTTGTAATTTTCACCCTACCCATTCACTCTCTAGCCCCCTCACACTTCACGCATATCATCCACTAATCACCCATCTTCGATACTTCTAAAAACGAACGGCCGAACGTTTTTTTTTTTAATACAATCGGCAAATACTGTCGAGTATTAATTAAAAAGCATGTAATTGGCAATATTTCACGTACTTTATCATCCATTCGAAGTAATCTACGTGCCAGGTCTATTAATTGATTTATCTCGGCTACCCTTAAAAAAATATTGATCCGATCGAAGCTGTCACGTGTATGTAATATTAATTTTTACGTATCTAATCGATATTCAAAATTGATAGTTTTGCTCGACGCTACTGATCTGTTATATTGACTATTGCTTTGCCAGCTGCAATCGAACTAGATACCCGCCTATAATGTATGTCGCGTAAAGTCGTTTGATTTTGAGAAGCAAAGAAAAATAATTTTTTTCTCAGTGAAACTGGAATATACAGTTTTCTTTTGTTCAATGTAACCTCACGTTTTTCATGTTTATTGTATTTTTCAGATTCCACTAAATATGGATTATTTAGCTACACTTTTTTTTTTTATCAGCGCACCCTGATATGTCTTAGATATGGTGGGTGATGATAGACAGTTTTTTTTGTTGGTTATGATAATAGTTTGATAAAAGGCAAATTGTCGCTTACAGGATCAATGTCGATGGTTTCAACGAATTTTAAAATTTTATGTGACACTCGTTGATTTCTTTTTGGATATTTATGCGACGAAGAAAAAAAAGGTTTAAAATGCATCAATGCCGAATGACTATCGTCACGCTGAATGTTACTCACGCCGTTCCTTATCATTTTTGTGTAACCGACATTACGTTTCAAAAAGATACACGACACAGTATGCACCTCGATCGAAGAGCAGGGATTTTAGGTTTCAAGACTTTTTCTTTACATATGCGATATGCGTAATCGTACGATAAGACTGCCGGACGAATGATAAGAAAGAAGTCGAATAAAAATTGCAAAATAATCTTTCACTTGCTTAAAATTGATATTTCATTCTCTATATGTGTCTGCGAAATTAATTGATTTCGATAAATCCTACAATTATCCGTTCCGACAATATTACCGAAAGATATGTTATTGATCATTGATATGACAATCGGTCATGACTTTCGCGCGGCCACTTTACTCCATGGCGTCGTACTTGACTTTCTTCACTTTGAAGTATCGATAAGCGGCGTAACCGGTGATGGTCAGAAGAACCGCAGCTGCCAATGTCGATCCAACTGCAACTGGTGCAGTTTCGTCTCTGCCTGCACGTGCACTAAAGGACTTGCATGAGAATTCAGCAGCGAAGTTGTTGTCCTTGAATTTGAAAGGTTGTAGCTTCAAGTCCCTAGAAGGAAATTTTTAATATTAAAAAAAAAAATCTATCGATCGCCATAAATTTTGTTTATACTTTAAAATCATCTGTATGTATATAATTTACCTCAAAAGTAAACTGGCGTGATTCTTTCCGTCTGTCAACGGAATTTCCACTTCCTCGTTGCAGGTATACGACTTTCCAAGAGGAGTTGGGAAGAACTTGTGCTTCTGTCCGGTGCTCAGTCGTATAGTCTTCTCTGGATGGATACAAAGAATTTTGTTGTTGCACGTAAGTAAAACTATTGTTGCCTAACTGACCGAAGCGTCTTGAAACCTAATTAACGTGGTAACTTACTTGGCTCATCAACGTGCTCGAAGTGACGGTCGCTAGAATTGTAGGTTAATTCTATTTTATCGACGTACCATCGTTCGTTACCAGGAGTCTGAAAATAAAATAGAGTGACTTAACCGTTTTTGAGAAAAAATTCTTCATAAGGAAGACACAGTGCATGCATCTACTGTGTATATATAACACAGTGCATATATACAGTCACGTTTTACAGGTAAAAATTTGTCTTGTCCATAAATGCTGGTAAAAGAGAGTCTTAATACTTGGAAAGTAGAAAATGGGATTCTGTAAATGCATTTTTCGTTGAATCTACACGGAATTATACATCCGCCCGCCCTCCCGCGCCACTCTGTAATATCGGTCAAGAACGGAATAAATCAAAGATGGACGCGCGCGTAGCGAGCAGTCGCATCGAATACGCTGTACTAATTACAATAATTCCCGTTTAATATTCCTTTAGGAACACTAACACCGAGATATAATGACATCTTGTGAATGCATTACTTTGGCGAAGCTCCAGAAGAGTACGAAAGCATTCCACCTCAAAGACATCGTCGCAGTGTTCTCGTTGTCACAGTGTCCGCTGACAATGGCATCGTCAGGAACGTAGATTGGCGCATCCTGGAACAAATGACGGTATGAAAATAACCCATTTCCAATAAAATCAATGAAACAATATTTAAATAGGCATTCTGCCGTCCGTAAAGTACCTTCTCCTCGCCGAGTTTATTACGATATTTAATCGTGATTATCGCGTCCACCTGCAGTAAAATGCAAGCCTGTCCGTTGCTTCCGTTGAAACGGTAAAGAGGATCGCCAGAAGATGGCAGTCGCTGCATTGTCGGGCTCGTAGTCGGGCTCGTAGTCGAGCTTGTTCTTAGTTCGGAATTGACGACTGGCTGAGAAAACATAATAATCGATTTTCTAATTATGTTGTATACCAATACAGCCAAAGGATTAGATATTAAAGATTAGGCATGGTAAAAATTTATAAAGACGTCGAAAACAGTGTATCATTGTACTCTCTAACCTCAAATCGTGCTTCGGTGTGCGGGATACCGAGTACACAATTTCGTTATATAAAAAAATATATATTGTGATAAAAATCGTTCATACTATGAAACGCGAAGTGTTCGTGTCGATGGTGCGTTTAATATTTTAACATTTGGTCAGGTTAAAGCCACGTGGTTGCTAATAAGATCTAGACATGGCGTCGCGCTTTGTTTTTCTTCGCATATTTTTGTTTTCTTTTTCTATTTGCAATTTTATGAACTCCCATTAAAAACCTCGGCGTGACTATCTATACACGATCGAGTAACAACTCTTAAGGCCCACGATTACCGACACGAAGAATCTTAGTCAAAGATTTAAACTGTAATAAATGACCGGTGAAGCGATTCGCGTTTAGATTATTGTTTAATCATTCAGGTACTGTATAATTTTTCAATTATACGGAAAATGTCAGTAAAAAATTCTTTAAGGCTGTATATCAAAGAATGTTTAGTATATGTACAACGGCCATTGTTCAGCTGGGGATGACGAGGTATTACGTGTGGCTACTATTTAGGTGTGATTTCTAACCCAGTGTCCTTGCACATAATAATTAAATGTGTATACACGTATACATGGCTTGTATATGAAATACCCACGTGAGTATGTATATCCATGGTCATATTAGTTGGAAATGACGGTTAGGGTACTAGGAATCCATTAAAATAATTACGCCCACGGTGGACGAAGGTTTTACAAAAAAAAATTGATCGATTAACTTCCGTAACGTCGACTATGCTTTAAATCAGAAAGTCTTTTTCGATTATTTATATATAAATGTATTTAAAAAAAAAAGTTACTGTTTCTGTTTCAATGAGTATGAGACAGGAGAGGGAGAGCAGATCTAACATTAACATTTTTCACTACAGGGAGTGGCGAAATTAACTTACCAATGGTAACCTGGTCCTGGTGATTGGTAATTCTGCTATTACTTTGGCCATCCGAGTTGTTGTGTAACGCTGCTCTTCCAACCTTCGTGGGAGCATCGTTGGTGTCGGAATGCTCAGGACGGTGCCCAGGAGACACCCTGGATTTAAAATACATATATATGGAATTAACTGCACAGTTACGTTATGTTTATTTTTGTTTATAACGTCTTTCTTTTTTTGTAAATGGGGTGATAGCATTTTTATTGTACTTGTACACGCAGTGAATAGCGTACTGCGATCATGAGTAAACGTGGAGGTATTGTATTTGTAATCGGCTCCTATGCACTTTTGTTATGTTGGTGCGCTTGTACAATGTCGATTTTATATTCCTGGCCGATATCGTGTTACTGAAATTTCTATGTCCGTGATTAATGCGCCACGCGAGCGCACTAGCTAGGCGTGGGAGGTTCGTGTCTATTTCGATAAAATTTACAGGTGCGTATATGCATACGCGAGGGTAAATTAGGTGATAACGATAAAAATTAGTAGATTTATCTAGGGACAAATTTGAAAATTATATAATAACACAGAAGGATATAGTTCACTTGAACGCTAGAATGTTTCTATTTTTTATCAAACAATTTTTATTTAAAAATGTGGTAAAACCGAAAATTATAAATCATCGACACGTGAAACACCTGCTGGACGTATTTAATTTTTTGTAAAAAAACATATTTCTGGTAATTCAAATTTCTACGTCGCATTTTTCAGATATCAGTTAAATCGTGTCAAGTCTGAACTGTAGAAATTGTTTGAAAATTCAATACATAATATATTATACGATTATCATTGACACTGATTGATCATTATTAATTTTACTCAATGATATAATTGCAGCCTGTGTAATCAGTGACAGGAAGAATCGAAGAATCAACGACCGCAGGGACAGTGCAGAATCAAAGGGATGAAACGATAAGCGTTCTAAGACCGTATGTATGAAAGGGGCGTTTTTTTTTTCTTAAGGGTTGCGTTGGTTCAATGAGTAAATCAAAATTCGACTCACACAGGAAAAACAACGTTTTGAACGTAGCACGACGAGCCATGGTCGTCGTCAATCTGTCCAGGACTTAGTGTTCCAGTAGACGAGGTGGTGATCGCCCGCAGGTGACTTCCTGCTGGTCGTCGCGACGGCTGCGTCTCCGAGGTTGGCGGAGGTTATGAGAGAAAGAGAAGAGTCAGCACAGGCGAGAGAGAGAGAGGGCGTCGCGCGCAGGAGAGAATCGGATGTCAGCGAGAGAGAAACTGGAACGAGGAACATGGCGGTGGGGTTAGGTAGGAAGGGGGATACGATCAATAGGGGTAGGTTTTAGCATGCGCTACTTCAGAAGCCAGACATGACTCCTTTGTACGAGGACAAGCTATGAGGATGTGCCTCTAACAGCTACCCTGGACTACGAATAGCACGTTTCACCCCGTTGTAACATACGCCAACGCGTTAAATTTTCAACAGATTTCATTCACAGACCTCCATTTCAAACCTTAGCCTTACCTTAGGTATATTAGCTTTGTATGTACGTACCTGGAACATATTTACTTTTAAAATTGTGAGTAATGCGGTACGACGAAGTGACAAAGTTTATGCGGTCATTTATTCTTTAATTCGTGGTAGCGCATGACGTATCTTTTTGGCAGAGTTCATTTTGCAATAAGGGGATTTGGGATTTACGAGGTATAGTAAAACGTGACCGGTTTTACTTTCTCATAATGGTGCCCTTTATAGTGGTCTGCTCATAAGTTTTACATTATTTATGCTCTTATTTAATTTAAGTGTATTTTTATATTTAGTTGATGACGATGTTCAGATTAATCTGTATAGTTGAGGGGTTTCTAGATTTAGGTTTTTGTTATCCTTATAGTTAATCCTCGTGTATCTTTTAGTTCAAGGTTTAATACACGTCAGTTCGTGCGTGGGTGACGTGGATGCGTTCCACATAAGGCACGCAGTATTTCAGGCGGGAGACCTTTCGTGATGTCAAAAGGTCAGGTGTCTCTTAACAGCAGACGCAGTGTACTTTCCGATTGGATATGGTACTGGTCTATTAAGAGGGTTGAGGAATAGCTAATAGTTCTATTTGGAGGAAAAAATAAATAGTCGGCTCAGGAATGCATATTTTTGTAATTTATTTTTTTTTTGTAGTTTGCATACATCACATTATAGAAAGATTCAGTCAATAATCAAGAGATGTTCAGGACAGGTAACAGTTGAATTAAATGTTTTTATGTTTTTAATGTTATTTAAACATTTGCTTTGTTTTAGCACCGTATCGCGTTGGTTCAACTTCCAACAGGACGTCATCCTTTGCATCTGATTAGAAGTCTTTTTCGCAGACGCTATAATGTCTGCATGACACTCACGTCATCTATGGTAATGTTAAGTATACGTTAATTCGATTGTAATTGTACTTTGTAATAAGCATGCGTAATATGTGTAGACGTTAATAAAGTGGAATGTGTGAATATGACGTGTAATATTTTTCCATGTAGTGTATCAAAGATAGGGGGCGCTTGGAAAACCTGATTTTCTCTGAAAATCTTTATAGTTTTAGTTCAGTGTATCAACGATAGGGGGCGCTTCGAAATATTGATTTTTCCAGAAAATCTTTAATTTTAGTTCCGTATATCAACGACAGGGGGCGCTTCAATTTACTAGAAAAAAAATACTAGACACTGCAAGTATCCTGCTTTAGCTCGTTATATTAACGACAGAGCGTGCCTCCAACTCCAATTCTTCTTCATCCCTAGAAAACTATATACTCAGAACATCTATATACTCTTACTTGGAGTATCTCCAAACAAACCAAGAAAATTATATCACTTGAACTATAACTAACAAGTATTAACCCATTAAAAAAAATTATTATTAGCATACCCATGTTCGGGAACTCCATGAAACAGACCGACTCTACGGAAGAATGAAAGGTCCAAGCTGGAGCCCCCTTTTATATACCAGACAATGTTACCCACTCTGCTGAGTGACCCAGCAAGTGGTGCCCTCTACGACAAATTTAATAACTATGTATGTATCACACCTATCGCCAGATATAATCCTTCCCACACTCGTTCCTCCACGGGACATAAAGCAGAGATGAGCAGGGAGATGTACAACGCTCCGGTTTTAGGCGATACCAAAATCATACCGCTAAATCGTAGCGGCAAGTCTGGAAGTAGGATTCTGTGATCATCGCCTCCGTCGACAATGCAAATCCCGTCGTAGCCGAGCTAAACGTGAACACGAACGCGTAGCTTGGCGGGCAGAGGTTCTCCGCTACTCACCGCTGGTTCCCAAAGCAGCTCTTAGAACGAGATCGGGAACTATAGAACTTCTCAAGAAGAAATAAATATAAAAATAGAAGAAGGTTCGAAATGATTCCAAGAGACCAGTATAGGAGACCGGCTCGAGGAAGAATGAGCGCTCCGAGTCCGGGCACTGACTTGAGCGCTCCCCCCTCTCTCCGCCTGCTCCCACTCGCCGACTCCTGCGCGCTCACAATTTTGGGCAACTTCCAGTACTTCTAAACATGCTTGGCCTGAATTTCCGATTTCTGAGTGTTAATATTTTACTTTATTGATATAATTAATTATTTTAATGTTACAAACACTTAATTTATTAATATTTCAATTTGAATGTAATTTATTTTCAATATTCTACATTTTCAATTCAAATTTTATCTTCTCCGTATATTCCGCGAGATTTTGATTTAGCCTCAGTTTTATATTTTGAATAAATTTTGAAAGTAAATCAAGATCCAATAATATTTAGTAAAAATTGATGTGCTACACGTCTTAAAAATATTTCAACAATAGGCTTTTTCAATAATTCTTGAGAAGTTCTATAGCTTCCGGTCTCGTTCTAAGAGCTGCTTTGGGAACCAGCGGTGAGTAGCGGAGAACCTCTGCCCGCCAAGCTACGCGTTTGTGTTCACGTTTAGCTCGGCTACGACGGGATTTGCATTATCGACGGAGGCGATGGTCACAAACTCCTACTTCCAGACTCGCCGCTACGATTTAGCGGCATGATTTTGGTATCGCCTGAAACCAGAGCGTTGTGCATCTCCCTGCTCATCTCTGCACAAAGCCAAGTAGACCAACTAGACCAAAAAGATGCAACCCCCATATTTTACTCACCTGCCAATTGCTGTATGACTTACGGATTGCCAAACTTGCCATAAAAAATCCAGTTTTCCAAGAAGATCCCACAATTTCTCCGTCTCTCATACGATTGATCGTCGCACAAAGGAAATCAATGGAAACTAAAATTACAGCACGCACAAGACTGCGTGCAACCAGTCACAATCAACCGTCTCACGGAATCTACTGAAAAAGTATTACCTTTATTTAATCGACGGAATGCCTTCGATAAATATATTAAACTTAAATTGACCACCTCAACCACTGTCTCTCGTGTACCAATAAAATCCGACTACAGTCCAGGTTATATATTTGAATCACGCGCGCAAATGACTCTTCAGCAACCACCATTGAAAATTAATATTATCGTATATACATATATAATATATATAAATAATTACATGACGTAACAAAAGAAAGAGTGGGTACCTTAACAATTAAACGAATGCTGACCGTGGGCACCTATATTCAAATACAATCGTCCACAACATCACAGGGAGTCTTCAATTAGGAAACAATACGTGTCACCATTTTATTATAAACGTTTGTTACTACATTTTGGCTAGATACCGATCACCAGAAAACACTTAGCAAAGCTGTATGTACCTATCTACAGATTGGCGTATCGTGTAGCACGCGTGTGCGCGCAATGAAAACCAAAACAAAGAGAAAGGAGAGGTTATCGAGGGAATTATCGAAGGTATCGGAAAGGTATAAAGGAGTAGGAATCGATCGGGTAGATGATTGGAACGAATACAATAGGGACGTAACGGAAGGATTTTCATCGATGAACTGACTATTACTATTAATATTTCCTTTGTTAATTAAATCGTCGCTGCTGCTCGCGTAACAGCTCACTTTTTGTTCTCAACGTTCACTTCCTCAACGCACTTTACTTTTCCTTTCGAGTCATCGCACTCACAGCATCCAATCGACGCCACGTATTTTCTTTCACTTTATGGGTAGAGTCGCGATAATTCCAAGCGCCAAGCGAGACTCGGACACGCGAGTCACGTGATCCACCATTGACGTCATTGACATATTTCGCCTCGCCTATTATTCCCATCAATAAATTTTCATGTTAAAATAATTAGTGTTCTTATGCCTACACGTGATTCTATTATTTCCTTTTGTAAGTATTAATCATTAATTTATACATTCATTTGTTAAAGCAAGCGAGCGTAGGATGGGTGTATGTATAGATTATAATAATAATTTTTTTTCACCTATGTGATAAGGGGGAGTTTTTCATCGTTAAACGCCATTAGGGTACCTTATCGTGTAACACTAATAATAATTACTATTATTAGATGTGTATATATATATTTATATATATATAAAGTTATGTTCGTTAACGGCGACCGAATCGAAGTGACAGCATTACACTTAAATAATGATAATGATGATAATAATAATAATAATACAAATCGCGTTATAACGTTCATCCGATATATTGTACTCAAATTATGTGTACGAGTTTGATAATGTAATTAGTGAATTGATAAAACGTAAATTTAGATTTAAGAACAGGGGGGTTGCGTGGGTGGTGGAGCAGCGGTGAAAGAAAGAAAACAAAAAAAATTATAATAAAGCCCTTTGTCGCTCCCCGTTAATCTTCCTTAAACGCCGTTAATTCTCTTTCTCTTTTTTCACAAATCAATCGACCCATCCGACCAAGTGAGAATTTAAAGACTATTATGTATTTAACGTGTCTTACATTAATGACGCCCAGCGATATATAACCTTAAAACCGTTACTTTACATTGTTCGCGGCGTTCCGCCATTTTGTTCGTCATCTTCTTTTGCTTTCTCACCTAGATACAATAATAACTATTAATACCAAGCGAGGAAACTAAAGTATTTATGATTACGCATTAATATAATAAGTCCCGACGCCTGTGCTTGCAGCAAGTCCATTAACGATTGCGTGTCGTTAATGCGCGGTACCTCTGTAATCCGGAAGTGACGAACGTACGCAACCGGAAGGAGTTCATCTTCTTTCGCGTTTCGTTTCTTCTAAAACGCAACGGCGACCTTCAAACCCGATTTCCATTAACCGTAACGTTGAGGTTGGTAACCTTTCGGTATATCACCACGTGGTGTATAAGGTTTTGAGAAATAATTACGTGACAAAGATATTAACGATTTTTCACAATTAAATCCAGTCTGTACGATCGCACTGCCGCGACGCTTTTGCACGACGAGTATCGAACGCGAGACACTTTGACGCTGACTCTGTCGAGTTTGGTCGTTGACAGTGGCTAGTATGGAAATGTGACAAAAATAACACAACGTGCACTTCCTACTTATCACTCTTGCGCTTTACGTTCCTGTCTTTCGTTTCTCTTTTTCTCATCCTTTTTTTTTTACGCAACAAATTAACGACCGCCTATAGTCTCGTTGACGCAATTCTTATGCTTTTTTTTTTCTTCTTATTTTTGCTTCCCTCTAATCTTAGGCAAATATAAAAATGGCTTACGATGTCAGAAAATCGTGGTACAATGTCCTCGTGTTTTATGTATTCCTCGTTTATATTCTTTTTATGTATATTACTTTTGTTATATATATATATATATATATATATATATATATTTCTCTCTTGACACTCATTCTCTTTCATTCACTTTCTCTCGCGCGCGCGTACTCTCTCTCTCTCTCTCTCTCTCTCTCTCTCTCTCTTTCTGTCTCTATTTCCGTGTATATATGTATCTTTATGTATAACCGTGTAGTACATCTCTTTCGGTGTGAGGCTCTCTCATTCATTAATTTAGTACCTTTAATATTATATTATATTATATATACACCGTGACTCTGAAAACCCGCCTCCTACGTACATAAACATTTGCTAATGTATTTTCTCTTTCTTTCTTTTATATCTTTTGTCATTGTCTCTTTTATTTTATTTTTCTCTCTCTCTCTCTCTCTCTCTCTCTCTCTCTCTCTCTCTCTCTCTCTCTCTCTCTCTCTCCCTTTCTCATTCACTCTCTTTCACTCTTTTTCGTTCGCACTTCGACCGCAAATGCACCTGCTAACGAAAGGATAAAGAATACAATGTAGCCAATTATAATACCTAGATTTATTATTATCATATCCTCGGTAGAAATAGCAGATCTCGTTAGTAATAATGCAAGTTTAGGTATACGAACTCTTTTTAAGATGAAGTACTTACTTATCTTATTCACATGACACGCGAGTAAGTCGCACGAATCAAGTTTCATCCGTAGATTGTGTGTTAATAGTTCCTCCTCTCTCCTATCATCAGAATAACGTGTTTTCTTTGCCTATTTACTTATTTCACGATAATAATAATACAATAATATAATAATAATTAATCGTCATCATCATTATTATCCAATTAATCGGCTAGTGTCTATAATGCTGTGTATTTGCGAACTTACAATTACAGATAGAAAAAGAACTGAAGCATCATAAAAATGATTTCGGGAAAAAAAAAGGAAAAAAAAAACAGACAGTTAATGGCTGCGCGCGCTTCGATGCAGCGTCCAGAATCAATTAGAATTATTGGTTCTCATTGACGTGCGGATGGTGAAGGTAGTTTGTGTTCTTTTTTTTTGTATTTTTTTCCTGTTTCTTTTTCTTTCCACGTAACCCACATTCCTTTTCACAAACAAAAGTTTTAAGCTACACTCGTCGACGCAAAGACTCTGTTTATGCGTTCCCTTTATTTTGACTTCTTCGTTAATCGGTCACAACGTGTGAGAAGTACTCGATAGAAAATAAGAAAGTAACCCTACCCCGTTCTCGCTAGGTCAGACTTATGCGTTCACGAAACATGCAAATCGAGAGTCCAAGGAATATGTGAGAATTGACACGAGGGACACATAGAAACGAAAAGGAACGAAGAATCCTCCCTGAATAAACGAATAATCTTGACATTATAGTTGCTCTGTGCTCTTAAAAGCCAAGATGTGAAAAGACTTTAGTATTTTTCTTCTAACACCGAGAGGAGTCAGGTGTCTCCGCGATCGAATTAATCTCCTCGAATAAATAATTCGCTCGATCAAATTCAAATCAATACCTCGTCGCGTTGATAAGGAATTGTCTACGTCCTCGACGGAGATTAAACTACGGTACAATAACGGGGCGATCGAAAATTTTAATTAAATAGATTTTATAATTTTCTCGCTCTCGCTCGTCATTCCTTCTCATCATTATTCTCGTTAGGCACACGCTCGTCAATAACGCTACAGTATCATAGGCCTCTATATAAAACGAAAGAAAAGGTACTCTGTAAATTTACGTGACAGAATTGCTTTGAAAATGACATCTCGTAAAACAAAAAAAAAACCGCTAACTTCAGCAGAGACACTTAGCGATAGATACACGTAGCTTTAATATAGCGTTTTCACTTTTCTTGCCAATATTTTTCTTAATTCCAAAGACGCGAGTGAACCGTAATTAATTTTTTCCTTTAATTTCTCTCACTATAAAATCATGTCTTCCATTCAAATCTCTTCGTCCACCCACCTTCGGCCTTCTCTCCTCTCATGCTATATGCCTCATAACAAACAACTGCAACATCAAGACTCACTACGGGTGTTCCATAATACTGCTACAGAAACGAAACGACTTCTACACACGCGACTTGCACGATCTTCCTCCTTTGACATAGGGGTAAGGACATTCCGCATGTACATACCGAATACAAAGACATACCGATTTCTATTTATTTAACGTAATTCCGTAGGATCCTTGCGCGAAGTAACGTCTCTCTCGCATCCGAAGATCCATCCTCGGTAGGAGCGTCTACGTCATAATTCAAGATGGCGCGAGGATGAATACGACGACACACGTCTCTAACGTTATTCCATACTCTCTCTCTCTCTCTCTCTCTCTCTCTCTCTCTTTCTCTCTCCTTCTCTCCTTCATCCCTCTCCTCTGTTCCTCCTTGATTCCGTAACCTAATTCTCTTTCTAACCATCTCACTCGAGGCTGTCGCGGACACTATATTTTAATCCGCTGCCATTTATTTGGCACTCGGGAGTATTCGGAGCAATACACATATATACCAGCACATCCGGCCAAACTATGGATTCACAGGCTTCGTCGTTTGACCTCCGACCCAGCCCCCCATCCACCCCCCGCCCGCAACGGCTCAATCTTCAGCATTTCCAGCCAAAACAACAAGCCTTCAACGAGCACGTTAATTATTTCTGTTTTCGATAATCATTCGCGCGTCGCACTTCCGTTCAACGCATTTTCATAGTTCCTAATGACGTCACTCGCAAGCGCTCTCGACTGTGAACTGCCCATATGGACGTCAGACAAATATCTCTTGCTCCTCGGATTCGTTTTCGCTTTCGGACGACGAGCTCCTCGAGTCCCAGATGATGTACGAATAACGGTCCTCGGTGGATACCAGTCGATAGCTGAGCTCACCAGAGGGTTAGGGGTTGGTACGAGCGGCAAGTGCGCCGGTGGCCGGCAGTCACAGCTTGAGCTCGTTCGCTATTTTACTGGCGATGTTCTTGAAGCCGATCGAGGTACCGGATATGCGCTTGAAACGCACGCCGTTCAGGGACAGACGCGGAAGCTTGCACACTTCGATCTCCCATTGAACCTGACTGTCCGTCGCCGCGTCGCCGTGTGCGCACAGCAGGAGGAATCGCTCGCGCTGCTCGTATTGACATTTGTTAGCATCCAGCACCTGAAATTTACGAAGATCGTATTATTTTTATTATTCAAAATGGCGCTTCTTTTCCTCACGACAATTTTACATATATCAATCTCACCTTTCTTATCTCGGACATTATTTCGTTCGGATCCCGACTGCTCGTTGTCTTCATGCTCCAGGTGAAACGAAGACTGCGTGGTTTTACCTGCTCGTCGTTAGTGGTTGCACCGCTGCAAGAAACAATAATCTTAAGTCTGCCCGATCGTGTGGCATTCTTTTTTTTATCAACTTTTACTACTTTTTTTTTTACAAATTATCATCGTACCTCAAAGTAACTAAAATATTTATATACTACGTAGGGATGTGCTGTACGGGTTTTAATATACGTATTAGAATATGGTTTCTTTGATTCTAATACTGTATGTTTTGATTCTGAAAAATGCACGACTCGTGGAATTGTAAGTGCATTGTTGCCTGTGACGTCACTTGCATTCTTGTTGAAAAACTAGGAAAATTTTCGTGATCGACAAATATAATTAATCGGTATGCAATTGGAAGATGGAAGAATTGACACACGTGCGCGGCATGCTGATTTAACTAGAAAATTTATTTCTGTGCTATATGATTATTTACGTATTGGCTAATTCTATTAGTCGAATACTCGATGTCAATTTTCTATGTATATTATTTATTATGTATATTTATTTTATTATGCGTTGAATTCATCGTGCCTATCTTTCGCTATGTTCAGCACGTGTTTCACTTTACACCTGGACGCTATACGTATCAGCGTACAAATTTCAAGTGATGGTGAAAAAAAAAAAGAAAAATATCTTATAGTGCATAAATTTCAGTATATACAAAATTACCATTAGTAATAATTAAAAGGTTAAAAAATCCACGAAATGAATATTGTTATCTATAATTGATCTGTCATTGGTCACACTAAAAAATTATTTCTAGTCCAAGCTGTCTCTAAGCCTTTTTTTTTATCAATCTGCGTTAATTCATAAATAATCGAAAGGACTACACGGTCCGCGTATAAACATTCGATTAGTGCAGAAGTGACATTAAAAGAAAAAATTAGCATTCTAATTGGACTTTTCAAGTATCAATGTCCGAGATCCAACGTACTGTTACTGTTATTATTATTTGCTATTATTATTTATCATTGTGCCGAACGTGCATGCAAAACACGTAAACAGTATTGAAGAAAGAGCGCCAATTTCAAAAGTACGATATATGTCAAAGGACAAAAACAAGTTGCACAGCGAGTTAAGAGAAAAGAAGAAAGATGGAAACTTTGGGCCGTGGAATTTAATGCTACATGACAACGTACCTCACTACTGGATGCTTTGGGGGTACGGATGGGTCCATGGGGCTGAAATAACAAAACAAAGGCAATTGCTAACAAACACTGAACTTGATAAATCAATCGAATTTTGCTACGTACAACCACCACCAGTCCGTAACCTTTGCAAACCTATTAGTAATAATCGTCGACAAGTTCAGAAATCGTGAGGAAAGAAAATCGACGACCACAGATAATTTACGTAAAATCGCAGATTCAAGTATTTGTCAATTTTTATTCAAATATTTTTCCAAAAAAAAAAAAATACAAAAAACCACCATTCTCCCCCATAACAACAATCGACCCGAAGACTCGCGCGCGATACACACTTGACCCCAATTTTGTAATTTTCTTCAATTTCTCGTGCGCACAATACGAAGAGCGCTCGTCGCGCGCACGTTGCGCAGGAATTTTTGCGAAAAAGCGTAAGAAGAAAACATAAGTGAATGAACATGTAAAAAAAAAAAGAAAAGAGAAAATAGAATAAAAGTGCATGGAAAACAAAAGTACGATTGTGACAACGTATCGTCGAGCGACAAAGTTTTATTGTCTATAGAAATTTTTAGTATACACAGAAGAGACATTCCGTAAATGTTAATATTATATATATATATAGAGAGAGAGAGAGAGAGAGATATAGAAAGAGAGATAAAGAGAAAAAGATGGAGAAAATGAAAAAAAAAAAAAAAAGAAACAAGGATTAAAGCCGATTAAAAACACTTGCGGTGCAAAACAGGGTTAACATGCATAACGGTCACACGTAGGCAACTCGCAGCTTAGAGTTACGTCATTCCTTTCTATAAGAGGTATTCAGAAATAAATAGATACAACGTGTACAAGACATTTTTAAAATATTTATTAATATGAAACTATTATTATTATCGCTGCTTAAAATCATTAAATAATAATTCTATCCTGCGTCATTCGCGAGCCATCGACTGCCCTCCAAACACCACGTGAATGTCCGTACGACAAGAAAAGGCATTCGATCGTGTTCATTTCCTTCTTTTGTTGTAGTGAAATTGACTAAACAAAAGAGAAAAGAAAAAAGGAACGTGAAACAAAAAGAAAAACGTTATAATAAAACGACGAGAAAAATGAGATGACAAAAAAAAAAAGAATAATAATATAGACAACGAGAAAGAGCAAGAAAGCATCGATCGAGATTTCTTGATCGGCTAGTCGTCCCTTCAAAGGCGGCCGCCGCCGGCGTCGTTGGAGTGCAGCGAACGGCAGGCATATTAATTGCAGGCGTATCAAAGATTTCGTATTTATATAATAGCTAGTATAAATGTTTTTTTTGTCTATTTATATATATATATTTATATATATATATATCTATATCTATATCTATATATATATATACATATATATATATATATATATATATATATCGATCTAATTAATTAATATCTCTTTCTCTCTGTGTACGTGTGTCTGTGTCTCATTCATTACGCACAATTTTAATCTACCGGGTGGCCTCAGGCATATCTCCTCTATTAACATTACTACAGCGTTCGACAATCAATCCATGCGCTTGATTGCATTCCAATAACGAACTGAACACTGACGATTCATGCCGCCGATCAATTAAAAAATATAATAATCATCGTAACGACGAGCACGCACTTTCGACGGTGTTGAAATTTAAGTTTTTTTCGTAATCCAAGGGGAAAAAAAAAAACATAAGTCTCAACTGACGATGAGCCGTCGTTATCTCCTTCGTATCGTTTTTCGCCATTAAAGAGAAAAGGAAAAAAAAAAACAGAGAAAAAGGCCATCAGCGACGAACCAATGACGTCAGTGGTGCCCATTCGGAAATTATTAGCTACGGAGATGCCGGCTACGTCGACTGTGACTTTCGTACTCGAAATTCACGTACTCGTGGTTCCGTGTATGTTACAATTACAGTGTAAACGCGTTTCTCGTTATACAGCTATAAGTGAAATTAATTATTCGCAATTTGCGTGGACGCTCGAGAGGAAGCGAGAGCGAAGTTTGAAAAAGGAAAAACAAAAGGGTATAGAAAATAATTAACGGATATAAACGCTCGCACGGAGATCAGCTGTCTCTCTCTCTCTCTCTCTCGAATAATCGAGAGAGACAGACTTTCATTGAATGACCAAAAAATGTGCAAACACTCCAAGGCCACTCTGTAGGACAAGACTAAAAATTTTTGAGAATTACTGTGCAATAATAAATAGTATTTAAGATTTATTGCTTGACGATGTAACGCGCGCATACGTGTCACTGTTCTGTGTCTGGCCTATATGACGTCGGGATGTGTGGATACAGATTGGTCCATTCTGGAGACGAGTACAAATAAACAGAAAAGGAAAAGAAAAAAAGAAAACAAGAAATTCAACACCATTCGACAAACAATTCGCTATTATGATTATTCTCGTTATCATCTATGAGAAACTTAAGTATTTTTATATTTTTCCCCTCTGGAGACGGTAATCGTAAACCCGCAATTCAATGTCAATACGTTGTCACCCGTTATAATATAAGATTGCAAGAATTCGTCTTATGTACATATTGCTAAATGATTAAAAATAATCAATCATAAAAATGAAACGAATTACAGAGACTCATTATTTACAATTGTTTGGAATCTCAAAAAAAAAATGACTTTTTTTTCTCATTATCACGTTTCAACTTTCAATCTAATCGGCGTTACGTCACTTAACGCACTGCCAAATTAATTCATTAATCACGTACCAACGTGGGGTAAACACGACTAATACAAATTAGATAACCCCCCCCCGATAAGGAAAATCTCTCGACGGGCTCGCTGATTCTCCGTATTATAGTCGTGTTGAATTGGCCAAAAACGTTTGCCGTCTCTCAGACACAAAGGAAAGGATGGATAAAAAGTTTTTTCCACAGCTGACTTCGACTTTAAAAATGCCAGTCTGCGTTTTAACGTGAATTTCGGTTTTTCTTGTTTTTCCTTTCCTTTACAATGGAAAAAAAAAAAAAAAAAACTGTAAATTATACACGTGCGTGAATTAATGTCGCGAGATGGACACTTGCGAATCCTGTGTGCTCGGGCGAATGCGAATGGGAATGGGAGATGAAGGATATACGTGGGGTGCGTGTGTGGGTGTTTACAGTGGCCTACCATCTTGCACGTTTCGTGTATTGCTTAATATAATATAATCATTTAAATTACTGATACAATAGAGCTATTTATTATTCGCAATGGACAATTAAAACACATCGGTGTCACGGAACATAGTGGATCTGTAGGTAATTGCAATCAAATAGCAAAAGGTGCCGATAGATTAGAAGACGAGTGGGACGTACATTAGAGATACAATCGACGAAGTAACGTACGGTTATTGGTAAGATTCGTTGCGATTACGTTAAAAAAGTAATTTAGCACTTTCGACAACAAAATATTTTTCATTTACAACATTCACACGTGACGAGGCGTACGGTGCGATTATCTGCATCGCTATTTGTTTACAAGATAGCCCTGAAGTAAGACGAAGTATTTGCGAAGGAAAAAAAAAAAAAAAAAAAAAAAAA